AGGAGAGAGAGATAGAGAGAGAGAGTGAGTGACAAAGAGTGACACAGAGAGATAGAGAGATAGAGAGACAAAGAGAGAGAGACATGCAGAGAGATAGAGAGAGGGGGGGGTGACTTGAAAGGGGGAGTGAGTGTGACTTGAAAGGGAGAGTGACAGAGAGGAAGAATGACATGAAAGGGAGAATGTCACGAAAGGGGGAGAGATGCAGAGACTGAGACTGAGACAGAGAGATCGAGTCAATAAGTAATACATGTCACCATCAATTCAAATTTCTTCAGCAACTTCCTTTCATATTTGGTTGATTAAAAATCTGTTTGAATTATCGTCCTCTCCTTTGCCATATAAAACCTGCCTTTTTCTGACAGCTTTTATCAACGCTTCCACCTCCATCTTGTTTCGTTTGCTTGAAGAAAGAGACAAAAAGAAACAGTTTCACGCTGGCCAAATTTTAGTGCAGCACTAAAATGAAAACTCCCACAGTATCTATTCGGAGACGTCTCCGACGGAGATAGACCAATCAAACCGCTGTGTGCGGGAGTACGTCTCCGACTAGTTCCTAGGTGCTCGCCGGAGACGACGGGTCTGCCACGGGTTCACGCTGGGTTGTTTTTTGTTGTTTTTTGTAGCCTAAGTGTCTTACGGCGCTCGCCACAGCATTAGTCCTTCTTTTGTCCCAAATTGCGAATTTTTTAAACACGGTTGATATCAAAGACTCGCCATCCATTTTGTTTCGATTGTCACTGAGGCAGAGAAAATGCGCACCGCACTAGGCCTACCCAAGTCGTGACCAGACAACAAAGGGAGGCGGCATCAAGTATACGCTTGCTCGCGAGAAAGAATTAACGTTTGATCCTAAGCTACCTTTACGCTTTCCAAGCGTCGCTTGAAATTTCAGGCACGATACAGCGAGCGTGCTTTTTGTGCGCAACATCTTTGTGCTCCGCACCGCGAGGTGACTAAGGCACATATTACTGGGAAAATGTAAATACACCCCAAATCGATTACTCTTTTGGGTAATGCATTGAAAAAAAAATACTCAAAATCACTTTTGATATTAAAAAAAAATAATCTCAAAATCATCATAACGTTTTACCAGATATTATGCTTTAATCACCACGGTTTACCGTACTTTAGTAAACGTTCATCGCCGTCCTGGACCAGTGCAGTGGTTGGCGGGTGTTCGGGTGTGGTTTGCTTCTTCTTTCCTACCAAATAAGTATATATCGTCCTTATCTCTCCTCCTTCTTAGTGTGTTTGTTACTCGCTTGTAACACATCTAATTTTCGGCACTTATATGACCTAATTGTGTTGTACGTGCCGTAAAACTCTTATTAAAACTTAAGCTTAAGTTCTGGACCATTGCACACCAGCCTGAGCGATATCGCCCAATAGAGGGTGATCTGGTGATTCTTGGGTCTCAAAGATAATGATCTAATAATAA